CCGTGAAGAACTTTGGGTTGTAACAGTGTACCTTTCATCTTTGAGAAATTAAACAACCACAAAAAGTTTTTCAATAGGATTTTGAATATTGTATGGTTTTTTTTTTTTCCTAATGAAAGATTAATCTGGAAGCAGTGTAAAAAATTGGATGGATGAGGTTGGGTAGAAAGCCCAGAATAAAACAGAGGATCTGAGAGGTCACTCTAGGAAGGTACGTAGGAAATGAGGAATGCTGGAAATAGGATGAACATAGGGGATTAAATAAAAGAAGGAACACTTGAAAATGTTGGTTGTTTACTGATTAAAGGTATTAAAGGAGAACAAGGAGAAAACCCAAGGGTAAAAATGATTACAACTTTTGAAGCTGATAGGAGATATTGGTGGTGAAATTGAGATAAGCCAATTTATTTTGTTTTTTTGAGAAGGAGGACTCTGATCAGTCACTTTTAGATCCTCCATCTGACATTCAAGATGAAATGTACTTGGCATCTAAAAGTCGGCCTTATTAAATGGTGAATCAAAGTTAATTTAATCTGTGAGTAGGCAAGTCAGTGTACCAGAGGAAGGGCACAGAGAGAGAAGTTAACAGCACCGATGTCGTCAGATTCCAAACACTGTGCAGAGAGTGTAATTAAGATCTAGCTGAGCCCTAATATGATGAATTTATCTCCAGAGGAAAATATTGCCCATTACAGTCAAATAAAAAAGGATTGTTTGCAAAGAACAATATTTTACTTCTTTTTTTTTTGAGACAGAGTCTCACTTTGTCACTCTCAGTAGAGTGCTGCATCACAGCTTACGGTCCTGCCACGTAAACAACCTCAAAACTTGGGCTTAAGTGAGCCTCTTGCCTCAGCCTCCCAAGTAGCTGGGACCACAGGCACATGCCCCCACACCCGGCTATTTGTTGTTGTTGTAGTTTGGCTGGGGCCGGGTTTGACCCCGCCACCCTCAGTGTATGAGGCCAGGGCCCTACTCACTGACCCACAGGCACCGCCTGACACCTGGCTATTTTTTGTTTCAGTTGCCACTGCTCTTTTAGCTGGCTGGGTCCGGGTTCGAACTTGACTCCCTTGGTATATGGGGCCGGCGCCTAGCCACTGAGCCACAGGTGCCGCCTGTTAGTGTTTTTATTACCAGGTAATACCTGTAACAGTCATTCTGATCCTTATCCCCAGATTTGTTAAACAAAAATTATGGTACAGTATTGTTTTAATTTTTAATTTTTTAAATTTTAATTAATTTAATTTTTAATGAGGCCATTGTTTTATTTTATTTTATTTATTTATTTAATTTTGAGATAGTCTCAGTTGGTTACCCTCAGGAGAGTGCTGTAGCATCATAGCTCACAGCAACCTCAAAATTTTGGGCTCAAGCTGTTCTTTTGCCTCAGCCTCCTGAGTAGCTGGGAGTATAATGGGGTCTTGCTGTGGTTCAGGCTGGTGTCAAATTCTTGAGCTCAGTTGATTCACCCGTTGGGCTCACAGGGAGCTAGGATTACAGCCATGAGCCACTGCCCCTGGCCTGAGCCCATTGTTTTAAATGAGTTCATGGCACTAGGCCCCAACAGATCAGACCAAACCAGAGGGAGTCGCTCATGCTAAACGTCACTTAAACTGAAACTTTAATGAAGCAGATAGATCCCCAAACAGACCAGATTTTCCTGGTATAGGGGATGCCAGTCTACTTAAGTCAGTACAACAAGGATGTCCCTTGCCTGGGTACATTGCTCACCCTCTGGGCGAAGGGCACGCCTACGACTTTGATTTAAAATATACAAAAGCAAACTATGTAACCAAATTGTCTGCACCTCCACAATATTCTGCAGAAAAAAAGTCCCTCTGCTTTTAATCCTTACAAAAAAGTAACCGGAAGCAACCTAATGTTGGCTTATTATATAAATAACTTTTGTTGTTGTTGCAGTTTGGCAGGGTTCGAACCTGCCACCCTCGGTATATGAGGCCAGTGCCCCTCACTGAGCCACAGGCGCTGTCCTTATAAATAACTTAATCACTTCTTTTCTATCCTTCCCTTGTTCCCACTTTTCTGCTGTTGTCTAATGAGAACTTCCCTTATAGTATACAGAAGGGAGACTGCCCAGATTCTTGAATTTTGACTAAAAGCCAATTAGATCTATAACCAAGGTCGATGTGATTTTTGTGTTTTGACAGGTTTTACCTAATCCCTGACTCGGAACTCTTTCCTAAACTTTTAGCTATATATTAATTACTGAGTTTTGGGGTTGTATTTTAACTTAAAGTTGTTTTTTTTTTTTCTTAGAGTCTCACTTTTTCACCCTCAGTAGAGTGCTGTGGCATCACAGCTCACAGCAACCTCCAACTTCTGGGCTTAGGCGATTCTCTTGCCTCAGCCTCCCAAGTAGCTGGAACTACAGGTGACTGCCACAATGCCTGGCTATTTTTTTGTTGCAGTCTGGCCAGGTCTGGGTTTGAACCTGCCACCCTCAGCATATGGGGCTGGCACCTCACTCACAGAACCACAGGCACTGCCCTTAACTTAAAGTTTAATGGTTAGTTTTTTTGTTTGTTTTTTTTTTGAGACAGAGCCTCAAGCTATCCCCCTGGCTAGAGTGCCATGGCTTCACAGCTCATAGCAACTCCTGGGCTCAAGCAAGTCTT